TTAGTATCCTTTATTACTCGTCAAAAAAGTTATACAGAGAAAACTTAAAAAAAAATACAGATTATGGTTGTGGGTGGTAATGAAGCCTTGAAAGAATATCAATGAACAGTACTACTTCCTGTTTTTTGTATCTAACAAAATGGAGTTATTATAGTGTATTAGAAATCATACATTAAGGAATGCTGGTTAACCAGTCACCCTTGCCAAAATCAGATACGAAAAGAAAACAGAAGTTGGCAACAATTTCTGCCCCTGATTTTTCTCTTTCAACATTACATTAAACTGTCTTTAGTGAATACATTTATTGTCTTAATTTAAAATAGAAGCTAAAACATTTTACAACTATACATTTTGATTAATTTAATCCTAACCTCTGCAATTACCTGCTTTTATTAAGACAGTTTATAAATGCCACCCACAAAAATTTTAGTAAAATACTGATTTCATCATTTCTTTGAGCAATTTCCTAATAATATGATATGCCTATAAGTAAAAAGTCATGTTAACAATCACAGTGATGTTTAGCTACCTTTCTAATAAAAGTAGAGAAACAAAAGATGTAAAGGCTGAAGAATACAAGAGTTATGAAAGCAGCCTATGAAATCTCTTTAGATTAGAAAAAACTAAAAGGTACAGGTATCTTGTTCTTTCATGTGGTTACCAAATTGATAGTCTGAATGGGTGGGTGGGTTAAAATGAAAGAATAGGATAGAATCATTATATCCACTAAACTCACAATTGCCTGTTCAATGAAAAGTAGTAACACTGCAATTTTTCTTCAAAGGCCGTAAGTAAATCCAAAGAAAAAACCCTTTAATTTTGTAACTTAAAGAACAATTCACCAATCCCGTGGACAAAATTTATAGGCACGGAACTTTCGCTGACATTTCAGAAACATAAGGACAACAAATATAAAAAGATAAACATGCACCTGTATATAACACACTGCAAATATACATATTACACTTCCTATATCAAAAGGCTAGAAGCTGTGGTCAAAACATGGACGGAACTAAAATACCTGGGGCTCAAGGAGTTCAGACATATTTGAAAATACTCTTAAAAACAATGAAACACTTGAAATTAGCTTTTATGTTATCATTGCTCTACCAAGGCCTTGTGACTTTTCTCTCTATATGTTTAGTTTTCTTATTATTAATATTTTAGCAGATTTTTTTTTAAACCTGAGACTTCAGAGGATATAAATTACTACTGGAAAGTAGAAGCTAAAGTGTCATTAAAAGTAAGTTTTTACTACTTACATTAAGAAAGATCAAACTAAGACATGAAGACTAAGGAGAAATGAAGAAAAACTAGACTATCTTAGTTAAGTATCACTGCCAAAATTAATTATGAAATCTTTGAACATATTAAACAAACTGGGAAATATTAAATATTTTGCACAAAATTCTTCAGATATGTTTTGATCTTGACAAACTCCTAATAATCTATCCTAATTAAAGTGACTGAATTTCCCCCCAAATACCTAATCGTCCTTGCTGATTATTTTTTCCTTTCATTTTCATATACCATACATATTTTTTCTTTCATTCTGACATACTATACAAACTATGCCTCCAGTGGCAATTCCATTAAATTTTCAAGAAAGTATTTTGACATGCACTATTGTACAATTTTTAGTTTACTCTACAACCAAAAGGAAAACATCTAGGTTACAAAACAGGAGAAAGAATGAATTGTTCAGGGCCTGCATTCCGAAAATAGCCATGGTTCAAGCCCTGGTTAGGCTACTTACCAGCAGTGTGACTTTGGGAAAGTCATGACTTTTCTAGGCTATGGTTTCCTCATTTGTAAAATGAGACTGTAGGACTAAATGATCTCCAAAATCCCTTTCAGCTCTAAAACTATGATCTGAGGAAAGCTTAGTCTTTAGCTAACCAACACTTATGTGTATGTTATTTCTACTTTGTTTGCTCTTATCTACTTCCAAACATCTGACAAGTGTTAACATACTAACTGTGGCCTAACAAGTTCAGGTATGAATTTATCTCAAATGTCTGACAACCATACAAAGTTATGTCTTTATTGCTATAAATCTCTATCAGAAAAAAAAATTAACTTCTGGACTAGAAAATTAAAAATTCCAACCTAATTTACAATACAATTTACTTCAACAAAAAAACTATTATTCCCAGTTAATGATTTAGTTCAGTCTCCAATGGAAACTACACAAAGGAGATTGAATTTTAAGTATAACAATCAGTACTTTGCAGAAGTTGTTATATATTTACACAAGATACTTATGCAAAAACTTAGTCAAAGGCTCCTCTGTTTTCATTATGTCTTGAGGGACTTATCACTTTCTGAGTACATTTTAAAATGTTCTTTAAGGATTTAAGTCATAACACTGCAGCTTTAAATAAACGAAATCAACCAAGCCCACAGCAAAATTATGTCAAATCATTTTAGCCACAAATCAGAACTAGGAAAACTCCTTGGAGAAGTGATTTTCATTTAAAAGGCTTACACACACAAATCAAAATTATATGTGTGGGTGTTTAAATAGGCATCAGAACATCCTACTGGCGAATCGGTGCAATACCACAACGTTAAAAAAAAAAAATTCAAACAATTCACAACACTAACTTCTCAACAATTCGTGTTCTGCAGTTTCTCAGTGCTGAGTTTTTCTTTAAGTACAACTGTCACATTTAATGGTTTCCTTTAACAGAGTATTTTAGAGTTGTCACTAAATAAAAGTCAAGGAAAACAATCATTTTTCTTAGACACATTACCACTGCTCTTTGAACGGAAGTGAAAAGAATTTGAGATTTTAAATAGCATATCATGCTGTTGCTACTGGAATTTCGTAAGGTGGCAGCGTTTGCAGCTGGGGTGAGCTGAAGCTATGCAAAATGCGCCCCACTCTCACCCAGAGGTGAGAGGATTGTGGCGGCAGTTAACGGGTTGGATGGCTTGGAAACCAAATGGCTGACACATCCGGTCTAGGATCTTTAGCCACCCAAGTAAATTCAAACTTCAAAGGCATCTCAAAATACAAGTCATATAAGCTCTCAGCTCCTGCAGCTACCAGTTCAAAGCATTCTAGGCCCAACGGGTACTTAAGCGTGAACCCTCAGAAGTTTTGCAAAGATTGTGGCACTCTGAGTTTGCAGCTCATCCGCCTCCACCAGCTAGGACCTGGGCTCGACATTCTCCCAACCAGAAAAGACATCCCACCAGTCCCCAAACCGCCCGGTTACCTGCCACAGTACTAGGTCTTCTCCTGGGCAAGCTGAAGCCAAGCGGCGTGGAAGATCCTGACTCCCAGACAGCAGGTTCTGTCTGTCACGCACAGCACCAGCCTGAGCGGGGCCGGCGGGATCTAGCTTCCTCCTCCTCCACCATACAAACAGCCGCTGGCCCCGGACCTGGCTCCTGCCCACTAGGTTCGAGAGCCCCGGAGCCGGACCTCCGGCGCCCTCTACTCTGGCTCCCCTCTCCCACCCCCAGCAGCAGCCCAGACAGCTCCGCTCCCGTGCAAGCTCACTCCGGCACGCCACCCAAGCGCCAATCACCCCGGGGCGCCCGCAGCCTCCGCATCGAGCCCACTAGTTCTCGGGACACCCAGTCCCTGGGGCACCTTCTCCTCCGCAGCTGCTTCCCCGCCCACTCGGCAAACACGGGGAGCTCCAGTCCAGTACCCCCACCCCCATTCCCATCCCCTCGGAGCTGCCTCCCGAGCAAATGCAGATTCTCAAGCTCAGTCTCCCAGAACTCCGGGTCCACCAGTCTACACAGGGCAACCTCTCAGGTCTATACACACAGAGCAACCTCCAAGAGTGATCAACCTCGCAGTCTACACAGGGCAACCTCCCAGATTGGTCAACCTCAAAGTCTACGAAGGGCAACTTCCCAGGCCGGTCAACTTCCCCGTCTACATATGGCAACCTACCAGTCTACATGGGGCAACTGACTAGTCTACACCCTCCTTCTCAACTATTTCCGCAACCAGACCCAAGCAATACAGACCTGGTGTCTCACATGTTTCCAAACAATAACACAACCCCCCCCCACCCCCCACCGAGCCCATACCCACCTCCGGTCCTTCCCTCACTCCCACCCCAAAGGTGGGCTTCGGGACCCCGCCCAATGCCGGGGAGCCGGAGGGAAGGTGGCGGGGAGAGGGGAGCCTCCCCGGGAAGACCCTGGTCCCTAGCGGACCCTGCTCCAGCCTCCCCGCAGCGGCTCTGTACACTCTCCCCCACCCACTGCCCCCGGGACTTTCATTCATTCGGGGAGCTCCCGGAGCGCGCCGGGGTCGGGGCGCTGCAGGGCTCGGGGCGGGGGCGGAGCAGGGCGGGGGGGCTCCGGTCCGCACGGGTGCCGAAGACGGCTGGCGGCTCCTTACCTCGCGGGGGCACCGGCGGCTGCGGGCGGCAGGTCGTTCGGGGCCGCCCTCCGCTCCCCGGGGTCGGCTCCCGCCGGGCTCGGGGCACCGCTGTCCTGCGGCGGCGGCTCGGGGGACTGGCAGGCGCCGCGGGCGAGGGGAGCGGGGGGCGGCGGGGGCGGGGGCGCGACGGGCTGGAAGCCGCCCCCCGCTGCGGCCGGCGGCCCCGGCGGGGCAGGGTCCCCGGGCTCCGGGGAGGGCGGCGGGGAGGCGGGGAAGAGCGGCGGCTCCAGCTCCACGCTCCGCACTTGGCGCAGCTGCCTCCGCCGCCAGTCCGCCCGCTCGCGGCCCCCGCTGCCCGCGTCCCGCAGGAGCGCGCCGCCGGCTTCAGGGCTAGCCGCCGCCGCCGCGGAGCCCGGTAATCCCGACGACGAGGTGCGATTCCCCGCCGCCGCCGCCATTTTCTCTCGCGGGCTACATTCGCTCTGTCCTCGCGGAGGGGGGGGGGGCGACGCCAAGGGCGGGGGAGACGACGCAAGGGGGGCTCCGGGAGAGGGGGGGGGAACGGGCTGAGCTGGGGCGGGGGCGGAGAGCTGCGGTTGGTCAATTGGAGTAGCGTTAGAAGCCTAGAAAGGGGGGTGGAGGGATGGAGTGCGCAGCAGGAGGAGGAGGTGGTGAATGTGCAGAGCTACGCCCCTAGCGGTAGGAGGCGGGAGTGGTGGAAGTGCCGTCGCCTGCAGGTTGGTGGGAGGGGACTGTGGGAACCGGGGAGTAGTGGGAGACGCCGTAGGTAGCCTGGTCCACCGTGCTCCAGCAGCCGGCCTGGAGCAGCTGTGTAGTGGGCACTCTCCTGCCCAGCCTGCCGTCAGCTGCAGGTAGTCAGTCCTTGCAGCGCCTGCGGGAGGAGCTTAATCACAGCTTCCTCTCGGCACTGCTGTTTGGAACTTGCTCAAGGCAAGTCTCCGGTGTCCAAAAATAAATAATTAGAACAGTTGAGGACGTGGCCACCGATAGGGCAACACTGGACTAAAGAGCTGATTTATTAAAAAAAAAGGGGGGGGCTGCTGTTCCCTAGCAAAGCTTCTTGGGGTGTGCATGCAATAAGAGCTCTCCTTCCAGTTCCTTGGGCGCAGGTAAAGAGCGCAGGTAATGACTGATTGTTACCACCATTCAAAGTCCAGCAGGAGAGCTTTCAATGCTTTCTATCCTCCTTAAAAGTATAAAAAAAATAAAAATAAAAAAAATAAAAGCTCACGAAATAATCAGGCCACTGTCGGTTACATTCTGAAGTCCCTGATTTGAGGTTTCTCTTCCCCGCTGAGGGAAAGCCGTGAAACGTAAAGGAAGGGGCTGTTGTAGTGTGGTGGATTACTTTTCCTGGCTGTTTCTCTGGGTGTAGATTCCAGTATTGGATAAATACTGGAGAAGGGAATAGGAAGAAGGAGAAGCAGATTGTCAAGAAGCTCAATGCAATTGCCCTCATGCAGCCCTAGAATTTAACACCCCCCCATCCCCGCCATTATCCTTTAGAGGTTAAAAACAAAAAACAAAAACCTCTTAATAATTATAAAGTCTCTCTGAGGAAAGAGAGAGCGAGAAATCGCCGTGTGGGTGGTTTAGGGCTAGCTGCTGGTATTTCTCCAATGATGTATTTCAAATGGCTCCATTCCCTGGTTGATTCTCTACGATAAGGTGTTTGGGGATGAAAAGCACTATTTAAATGTTAATTATCCTCAACCTTTCCAGTGCCACAAAGGGATTCTCTGTCTAGTTTGTTTCTACTCTGCCTTCTTTCTGTAGGACGAGTTAGTATGTGCCTTGCCCTATAGATGATAACCCTTCCCGAGGGCAAGAACTGTCTTCTCTGGGTTTATTTTGCAACACAGCGAGCAAACTTTCATGTATAGAAAAGGTGATATATCACATGAGAAGAGGAGAGGGAGTAATGTACTCAGCCTTATCTTATTACAAATGTAGCCAGGAGCCTGAGCTGTCTGCATACTAACTCCTGTTTTCTTTCGCGAATGTTACAGTCCAGACTGCAGAAATTATGAGGAAAGGCCCCTTTTCTAGTCTGTTACTGGAAGAGGAGGAGGGTAATTACTATTCTTCGTTTCCGAAAAGGGGATGCAAAATACATCTTGATTTTATATTATCTTAGTGCATTGACTACTAAAAGATTATCTTGAAATTTTTGAAGTGCAAATTTTGAAAGTAATGAGTAGTCCAGGCAATAAAATCTGTTAAAAGTTTGTAGTGTTTAATTCCAGGATTAACCCTCCGAGTTCCCTTCTGTGCTAAGTCCATATTTGGTCTATAATTGTGCAGCTCTGTTCATTGTATGCCAAATGTAACATCGAGGCCACACAGTGGGTGTTTGCCTAGTCTTTCCTAATTGAGAGACACCTTACCTTTTTAAGTTTACGATTCATTTTTTCACTAACTTTTTTAGGTTTTTACAAATTTTAAATTTACTTAAGACATGTACCAGTACATTTATAAAAACTAAACAAAGTAACTATCCTTTAAAAGATAGCGTAAGACTTGAGGTTTTCCTGAGGAGCATAAGTGAAACAGATTTCAAAGCAAAACAGCTTCTCGTAGCCTATCTATGCATCCGCCCAAGCTGAAACTTGGGTACAGAATGAAGGCGAGTGGTGTAAGTCAAACCACCAATCAGCTGCATTCTCCTTCACCACCCCCGCCTTCCCCCCTTCTCTTGCTGGTCCTTTCCTAAAACGAAAGACAGCTGAAATTACTAAACACTGCTCATGGTTTTCGTCATTTTTCCCCTTAACCTCTTATGCAAATATCCTGTTCTTCATTATGCATCTACACGTTGAGAATCAGATAAAGAAAGAAAGAAAGAAAGAAAGAAAGAAAGAAAGAAAGAAAGAAA